CTTCTAGTAGTCAAGCAGGTATGCTCGAAATAGGCAGTCCACAGGTTGCAAATGCTCAGGTACACATTGCAGTTCAGCAGGCAGGAAACAGTCTGCACTAGCATAGTGGCATTTACATTCCTGGGTCCACTGGGTCTCTCTGCACTGGCAGTGAGCCCTGCATGCATAAAAATGCTTCTGTTTAGTAATGGGGAATGTGCTCTGATCTCTGCCCTGCGTCCTCTGTCAGGTTCCAATAGGAAAACTTCAGCCTCAAACATGTAAGTGCTTTCAGTCTCCCTTCTTCTCATACAAATCCCCTTCCTCCCCTCTGCCCAATGCACTCCAAGGGTTCATCTCTAGCCTTGTTCTTTTCTTCCTCTGCTTTATCTCTCTTCTTTCCTTAGGGCTCCTCTTCCTCACTGTCATTCAATAAGCTCAGCCTTACTCAGTCCTGTATAAACACATGCACACACATACACACACACACACACAAAATTTATCTCCAGCTCTGTAGTTGTCCACTCACCTATGACCACAGTACCTGGTTGGCACAAATCTCTCTCGCACAGACAATCCATCTATCTCCACACCACAACCCTGCCAAAACTGCCTTTCTGCCAAATCTGCCAAATCTTTCCTTCCTTCACAGCCTTTCTCTTCCTGTCCCCCAGCCAGTCCATTTCTTTGTCTCCTCCTGCACAGTTCCTTGTGTTTTTCCCTCCCTTTGATCCATTCTTCTTTCCTTCTCCCTACCTCCGCCCATCTGTCTGTTTGTCCCTCCTTCCCACAGTTCTCTCCAGCTGACACACATGTACCCCCATGTCTCTCTCCCCTTCTCTCCCCGCTATATTTCATCTCTTTGTGTCTCCTACACACCCAGGCCCACACTTGCTCTCTCCCATACTGAGAGGAGGCGGCAGCAAAGAATTTGCTGCTGACCGCTGCATTGCTAGGAGGCAAACACATGGCCGGCCTTGTGCAGGCCAGTTTCTGCCTGAGTGCCCCAAGTCACATAGCCCCAGCATCATCTCAGGCACTGGGAAAACAGATGGTATAATAAATGAGCGCAGTCTGATAAAAAGAGGGAAAGGGTGCCTGCCTTGGATGCCCCTCACCCGCACAAACATCTGACATGGGTACAGCTCTCGCTCCCACACCAGTCCAGCTTTGTGCCAGAACTAGCCAGCTGAACAGGGCACAAGGTCTTCCCTAATACCAGATGGAGAGGAGAGGGGTAGGAGAGGGTGGTAGTGGATAGAAGGACCAGTGGTTATTTTTCTGACCACAGCATAACCCCAGAAAAAAAAGTACATGGGAGGATCTAAGTAGTCTTAAGGTCACGGGGAGGGCTGTTATCATGGAAGGTGTAGCAGAATTGTGGGGACATATAGTTGTAAGGTAAGAACTCCATGTGCTGAGACAGGAGGAAAAAGGCAAGAGGCACAGACAGTGAAGAGGAATTAGACATCAAAATAGCTATGGGCAGAGACGGCATCCAGTGATCACTTCTGTCTCAGTGATGAGAAAGCCACCCTACCAGCAATCAGCTGTGAAGGCCAGCAAAAGAAACAACATATTCTGCCTAAGGGAAATGCTCCCCATACTTTAATAGGTGCAAAAACTAGAGGACAGGGTCTATATTATTCTGCTTTTGCTCATACCAGAAATGTCCTCCTGCCCTTACCCAGTTTCATGACATTGTTCAAGAATGCTACTTTACCTCCTCAGTACCTCCCCAGATATCTGCATCCAGAGACTTGCAACATCCTTTCTTCTGCATTTTCCTGTTACAAGAAACCTATATTTGTTTGTTACTCTTTTCCAAACCCACCAGCCTTCCTTCCTCATCTAACATTTTCACATTCATTGCAGCCTCTCTCTGCTGACAACAGCACTGAAAAGCATTATCTTAACCCTGTAAGACATCTTTCCTAGATATTCTCTTCTGTTGTGCATACAAGCTGATTTTATGCCTGATGCTTCAGCTACAACCTGAATTTCAAAACCAGTTTCGTGGGCCTCAAACTGAAGCCACCCAACGTAACAGAAACAAAGTCATAGGTATCACACAGTGGCCACACACAACTGTTAAACTACAAGAAAGCAAGGCTTCACAGGAGTCAAAATGAATTAGCGAAAGCAGAGAAGGGAATCCAACACAGAAAAGAGATTCTTTCCATGCAGAGTGGAAGGCAATTTTTATTGTAGGTAATTTTACTCATGAACAGAGTGATTTCTACCTGCCTTCCACTGACCTCACACACATTGCATGTTTTCTATTTTTTTTTGAGGTTAAATATTGATATTCTGGGGAGGTTTTCTGCTGTATGAACTGATTATGAAGTTTCTGTTGTGAGATGCCAGAGCTCAATTTGTAGTGGGCACTTCTGCTTGGTCAGATGAGGTGCAGGTTCTCTTTCCATTCCCTGAATAGATGAACATAATGTATTCAGGATGCTGCAGCCACAGTTAGGTATAAGTGCACGTGTTGTTCCCCCCCACTGTCCAAAATTAAAGAGTTTAAGCAGAAAAATCACGACACTTTCTGACAAAAGAAAATAGAGATAGTTCAGGAATTAATTTGTGTTTTAAATGTGTTTATGAAGATGTTTAGGTAACAATTGTAGACATTTATTTCCCTCCACTCAGAAATCCTTTCTGAAGAACTGTACTCAAAATGAATTTCCAACATCTCTTCACACTCTTCCACCCTGATAGTCTGACAGTGCCCTTAGCTTACCTAGTTTATTTTTTCTGGTCTCATCTGGATATGCTGTCTCCAGCCACAGCTGCTCACAGCATCATAGCTTGCTGTTCTTATCTCCCCACGCTACTCCTAGGTTTACCATTCTGGATTCTTGCTATTGCCATTTCAAATCCCAGTGTCAACCCTGTCACACAGACTTTAACTCTTTCTGCCTTGTTCTAACACAGGCCTCATATCTTGAATCTAAACTGATGGCTACCACTGACCTTTCTCATCGTGGCTCTGAATCCCCCAGACTGGCCTTGGCCTCGAGATCTTGGTCCTGAAAATCTTCAGTTATTTATACTTACTACCTGCAAGGTCATTCAGCTCTACCCTGTATCCTCATTTTGCCTCAATGGCTCATGCAAAAACTACTTTTCCTCCCACTTTATTTCCATGTATCATCCTACAAGCCGTGAAAAGCCTTAGGTCTTCCCATCCCTAAATCCCACACTCCCACTCTGCCTCGGCAAATCCTTCGTGCTCTTCACGAACGAATATAGACCTACATATTTCCTACGTGTTCCTTTCCCCCTACTGCTCCTGCATTTCCCCTGTTTGGGACACAGAAGTGGATCGCTTCTGCCTTTATACCCTTTTGCTCACAGTCCCTAACTGGAAATTCTCTTATTGTCTATTTTTCCAGTACTTGTGCAGAAAGATTACAGGCTCTGCGTTTCTCCAGTTGACGCATATCTGGCTGGAGGGAAACTCATCAAACTGACCCCTTCCCTGACCCGAACTTGACATGTAGGGTCTGTTACATTTCCCTTTTAAACATTGCCAGTTCAATCTCAGAGACCAGGAAAGAGAGCAATTCCAGACTTCTCTTGGCAAACAGCTCTAGGGGAGGAAATATGTGAAGCCATGGCAGAAGAATGAGAGGAAGACCCCCAAGCAGTAAAAAAAACCAAACAACGATTCAAAACCCCCACCAAAACTCCCAATTCAGAATAAGAACTGCCAGTGTCTGTGAAAGTTACACTGCAGCAAGCTCTGAAGAGCCAAGATGAGGCTGCCAGGACTCAGCTGGTGGTCTCCTGCCAGGAAATTACTCTCTAGTCTGAGCAACATCCCCATCTCTCAGGTGACTTCAACAGGGAGTCACAATGGCTAAAGAGCCCTGAAAAGCCTGGAGACTGAGTAGCTCTCTTCTTTCTCCCTCCCCCAAGCGTTGTTGTTCCGGGTCAACAGAGCCAAGGGCAACTGGCACAGAAGACATTGTTTGCAAGGCAAGATGACAGCAGGAGAAGGAAATAGGACACAAGAAGCAGAGAGATGATGTGCCCTTAGGCCAAGAGAGATGTTGCAGGGGCCAACATGGCCCCTGAAGAGCTCCTCCTCAGACTCCATCTCTGCTGCAGAAGGTCCTAGAAGTCCCTCGGCCCCAGCTTCCAAGGAGTACCATCTGCAAGATGGAAAAATTACTCGCTAAGAACAAACAGAGACGGATATTCTCCATCAAGGAGCAGGTACGAGATAGGAAAAGGACTGAGAATGCATGGGGACAGAAAGGTCCCATCATGCAGGTGTCAATAATAGGAATGTCTTCCTGCTACTAGCAGATAACCTGCCATCACGCTGCTGGCTTTGCACAGGCAGATGAGATCACAACTACAAGCAGTTGCCACCTGAACATCATAGATGCAGTAATTATTAAAAGCAGAGCACAGCCTTGAGCAGGGTAAGGACCCCCACAGATCTGTGTAAGCACCAGTAGAAAGCAGTTGCTGCCTCCAGAACAGAAATGCAGTGTTTTCCCTGCTGTCAGCACCTGCGTCAGGCTCCTAGTTTCTCTTGAGATACAGCTCTTAATTGGGATAGATTGTACGTTTTCTGCTGCAGCCCAGCCCAGCTCCCAATTTAATTGCTAGTTTATGACTTAGCCTGTTTTGTGCTTTCCATGCTACTTCTTTCCCCATTTAATCTAATAGAATTATAGAAAGTATTTCTGGGAGGACCTCAGGAGGCCACACAGTTTATCCTTCTGCCCCAAGGCAGTATTTCATTTTCAACAACATCATGTGTCTTTTGCTATCAGGTCAGATTGATCCAAGATGTATAGTGGGTAAAGAAATGAAGCTTACCCAGGGGAGTCAATTGGCATAAAAGACTAAATCCAGTCCTTTAAGTCACTGAAGTTATATCAGAAATAACCCTGGTCCAAATGGTGTCATTTATCAGATCAGTATTCTAAAAGATGTCCTTTCTTAAGTTTTAAGTCTCTAAAATGAACAAATCTCTAGAAGAAACTGTTTTGACAGCCCCATTTCAGTATATTTAATGCTTTATTATGAACAGCAGTGACCACTCCATTGTTAAGACTGAACAGATCTTATCACAGTAGGATCAGCTTTGAAACTCCTATTACTCCCACAATAAAACCTGATCTTTCTGGAATTTTACATCCTGCATTTCACTGCACAGTAGTCTGGCAAGACAAAACAAACCCATTAAAGCATCTTTAATATGACAACTTTACACAAATGAATTTCCAGTAAAATTTCAAAATGTCAGACAGCTTCTTAAGGTTCTTTCTTTCAAGACAATTTGACTAAAAATTCCACTTTTGTTTTCTTTCTTCTATTAATCTATCTAAGAAGAAATGTCTTGCAGCCTCAGGAATAGATAATGCAGAAATTAGAAGGATAAAAAAAAAATCAGCTGGTGATGTATCAAGCTAAGTAAAGCAGGGCACAAGTATAACAGGGATTCTGAGCAAAACCACGAGGACCACAGGAAAGGCAGGAATGAGGGGCTCCAAGGAAGAAAGAAATGGTTTTGCCTAATCAAACATGCAAGCAGGAAAAAGGACTACATATCTATTAAAAACAGTTAAAGGCCTGTTTGTTTCCTCCCCCTTCTTTTGACATTTCAGTTTGGTTGAGTTGGGTCTTTTCTGTGTTGTAATGCTCATGCCGAGCACCTGCAGCACTGCACAGCTGGACAAAGCAGGGGAGCTGTAAGAAGACAACAAGCTTCCTGGTCAGCAGAGAGGCTTTCTGTCTTCCTCCCACTGTTCTCCACAGCGCTCGTAATTCAGACTGATGCTAAGGCTGTAGGCAGCAAACACACATTCTCACCCTACAGATGTGACCACAACAGTTTGTAAATACAGTAAGAGAAACTTAATAATGGCTTCAGATTCTTACTCATCCTGCTTGCCCAGCTCACGTACTCACCACCCTGAACTCCTTCACACAGACACAAAACTATTTTCCACAGCCTTCCCACGTCTGGCTCTCGTGTTCTCTTCCTACTCTTTCACTACTGACCTCTACAATCAAGGTCACAAATAAGCCAGGAAAATAGCAACAAGCACCACCTGCATCATGCTGGTATTATATAGCACATGAGGCAGGAAGGACAACATATTTTGCTTTTAAAATGCAGGGTTGGATGGTTATTGTCAAACACACCCTTTTGAAGGACATTAAACTGTGTCTACATTAGTGCTTGAAATAGTCGTGTAAAAAGCAAGTTGGACAACATGCTTTAGACACCACTTCTTTTCCAATTGTATTTATGGCCTGTGGAAGAGGGAAAGGGGCAGCGGGTGAATCCCTACTGCTAGCTAATTGGATCATACATTTCCTCTCTCAGGCAATATATCTTTCCCTGCATGGGATGCATTTTTCTTCACTAACCTCTCAAAAGCAGCTTCCCTATAAATCACAAATCACCACTGCAAGCATTCCCTTAATGAGATCCTCCAGCTTTTGCATTCATTTAATAAAACAGAATTCACCAATCTTCATCTTACTGGTGCATTTAAAGTGTTTATTTGAAGTTATGGGAGGTCCTTCTGGTGCAGAGAGATAGACTCCCTGGTTAATGCATAGGATTCATTTTATTACCTATTCCCAAGGCATTCATACCCCCTATGTACACTAGGTCACAGGTGGCATACACATCTGGTATGTTATTTTCAATATGAAGAAACATGTGTCTTGTGTTGTAATCATATCATCAATAGAACCAGGGGGAAATGACCTATCAAATCAAAATAAAACTTCTTTAGTTCTTTAACTAGATCAGCACAGCATTCAAAATAACTTTTATCCTCAATAGTCAGAGGTACCAGCACCTGCAGGCAAGGGTCTACTCAGCCCATGTAAACCAACAGACAACTCCCAGGATTAACAAGACAACCCATATAAGATACATATGCCAGTAATGCCAATCCAATTCAAAAACAAGTGAGTCTTCTAGTTACCCTAAGATCATGGAGGACCCCTTCCTTCTTTGGAGAAAGCAGGAGCTTCCCAGTTGTTCTGTAATTTTTGACATGGCTTCTAGCAAAAGAACTTCTTTTTTGTTTTGTGTAGGTTGAGCTCCTACTTAACCTCTTTAGCTGGTATTCATGTTTCCTAGTTAATTCCCAGCATCAACACACTGTTGTCAGTGAAACGAGCCCAGCTGCTTCTCCAGATTCTTGAAGTGCTTCATAAACTCTACTACAACATCTGCAGCCATATTTCTTATGTTCAATTCAATGTACTTTTCCTAGCACTGGGCATAAAAATGATTATAAACCATAAGTATAAAAGTTTTGAAACACAGATTCCTGAAAAGCCTGCCTGAAAAATCACTCAGTGCTTACTCTCTAAAAAATTCAGCTTCTCTTCCTCAAGGGAATCTACCATAATCTGGGAGAATGGTTAAATTTTTGAAACTCTCGGTGTTAGGCTCAGTTACAAGCCAGGACCTTTCCACGGATGCTTTTGCATTCTGCATTAACAGCAACTCACACACGCAATGTCAGTGCTCCACACAAAAGAGCAGCTCTCTCTAGGCTTCCACCCTTTCTAATATGAAACTTCTACCCAGACATGGCTGAGTCAGAGTAACTTATCCAGGCTGTCTTTCATTTCCCTAGTCCCGTTTCCACTAGCAACACCAGAACTGTGGTCTTTAATCCTAAAGTCAATGACAAGCAGGGAGAGTTTAACAAGAAACAGGACTTTGATTTTGGATTGAGAACTGAAGTTAATCAGAAAGGTATTGCCAAGTTCAGCTGATAAAAATGATACAAAAATACATAAGATGACAAAGACATAACGAAGAATAGGTAATTTGTTCTACATTTTGGACTTGTCTTTAGAATAGAAGAGGTATTCTTGCAATTTGACCCCATTTTGCAGATTAACCAATTTGGATGTGCCTGCAGGAAGTCCTTCCCGCTCACTTCAAGGGAGGTGGCAGGCTCTGTAGAACTCCTGTGACCTGGGACCAGCAGAGGGCACTGCGTCACCAAGTGACAGCGGTACGGACGCGAGACAGTTCCCACCAGGCAGTGACAGTGAGCCATGTCGAAGGAAAGAAACATTCTAGAAATCAGAAACACGTATTAGTCACCAGCATATCACTCCTACAACTGCTAAGGGCAACACTGTTAAAACAGGCCTCAAACTGTGGGCACTCCTAGAAACACACCTAAATCCAGCTCAGTCCCCACACATCTCAGTATCCAGGTGCTGATTTTAGGGCATAGGCCTCCTCCAGAAAATGCTTTTCAAGAGGTAGGGCCAAATCAGTCCTGCCCTGCAATGTATGTATCAGGGCTGGGTTGCTTAAGTCGAAAAGCATCCTGTCAGCTTCCTCTCTCTGTTTCCAAACCTCTAAATCCTTGCTTGTAGCAGCAGGAAGTCTGTTCAGACAAGAAGATATCAAAGCAAAGAGCTGGCAATTTCTATTCTGCCCTTCCCTTTTACTCCCTGCCTCCTCCAACCTAGCAGATTTTCAGTGAGCAGAGAACTAAGTTAGAGGACATGAAAGGAATGCTGAGGTAGCAACTTCAGAAGAGTGTCTTTCCACTTGCTTATTTCTAGTTTATTTTGAATTACCAGAAGATGACCATGAAGAAGCAAATAGCTCATCTTTTTTCTTCTCTCTGTATTCCATCCAGCAGTATTCTAGGCACCAGAAGAAGCTTAGAGGATAAATAAGTCATACCAGTCAGGCTAGTGAGTGAAAAGTTTCCACTTTCTCTTTGTAGAGTTGGTGGAATAACTTTGCCAGGATGTGGAAAGGGGCCTCAAAATTTTTCATCTCCTTCTGTAAAGAAATAAGAAAGTTACAAATGACAGATGGAACAATCACTTGACTATTTATGTTCCGCTTCACAAAAGAAAGATTAAAACTGAGTTAGATGACAAACAAGGGGAAGAGAACCTCCAATTAGCTTTTTTTACCTGGAAGAGAAGATAACTACAAACATCCACTTGCACAGATGGTGAAAGGAGTAGATACCCACCACTGATATCTCACAGTATTCCAGGCCATGTTTCTCAGCCCACTTCTGTGCTTCTTTCTGCTCCACAACTCGGCGATCAGCTAGGTCTGTTTTATTCCCCACTAAGACACCTGCAGAAAAAAAGACATGAAACAAGAAAAAAACCAGCCCATCAATGCTGACTTGTTAGCAAGAAAGACTGGAACATTTGTAGAAGTAGCTGAAAAAGCTGGAAGTGTGGAGAAAGGTCTACAACTACCTAGAAAAGGTTCAAAAAAGGAAACATATTCATGCCTTACCTGCTTTGTGATAAAAGCAAATGAGTTGGAAGAAGCCCTGACTTAAAATAAATGATCTATGTCACATCTCAATGGGAAAAATTGCTGTCATACAAGAGGGGAGTACATAACAAGAATCACGGCCATTTCTTACCTGGGATGTGCACCCCAACTGCTTGAGCCCTCAGCTTCTCCAACCATTTGGTACAGTTGTTGAAAGATTGCTCATTAGTGACATCATACACAAGGCACAGAACATTGGGTTGCTCCCACTGCGCAGCAAGAAAGGAACATTGTCAGCTCTAATGAAACTGATGTTGTCAACAGCCAGGCTGTAAACACAGCAAACACAGCTGCTAAGATGAAAATAAAAAGCCGAATATATAGAAATCCTATGCCCTGGCTGAGGTTTCACATTTCAAATGACCCAACTAAATGGATCACTGGCACTGGGAGAGGTGGTCTTGCTCTCTTTCCCTATTCTTGTCTGTACAGTCCTGCTCCTTTACTTGTATCCGCTCTGGCTTTCATCTGATCACTGGGGAAGCTGATTCTTCATGCTGAATCAGCACAAAATTAATCCTAGAGAAAAAAGTAGAAAGGTTTTCTTCCAGTTTGAGAAGCTGAGCCAGCTTCTAAAGGAGTCCCTTGCAAACCAGACCTAGTGCAAGGGCAAAAGTAGAATTGCCTCTGGTAGAGCAGTGAATCATTAGGTTGACTTAGCCATCTTATGAAACCTCACATCAACTGATTCTACCTCTCAAAATGAGATAACACAGCAGAGAACTGTGGCTAAGGCCACAGATATGTGAAGGAAAAAAACCAAGGACAGTATTATGCTCAAAGGACAAGAATGAATCCTGTTAGATCAAACACACCACTGTAATACAACCCCCTCCCCCACTACTGAAGTAGCAGCAAAATAGGTATTTTTCTAAGAAATAAAAATAACTTTAACCAACAGGACACAGAAATTCTCAGTTAACAAATCTGTATTTCTTTTGTAAAAAAACTGCCTATCTACTTTCCTTCCTCTGGAAAGTATTTCTCCTAATACTTCTACAAGTTTTAGAGAGGTAGAACAGGATGCGTTGGCAACTGAGGTAATTGCTCCCATTTACACTAAAGACAAAGTTTGCTACATCTGCCAGACTGGGGAGTTCAGATCTTCAAAGCAAAAGCGCTTCTTTGGAAGAAGAGGACTGTTACATAAGGCTTACCAGTTTCTCCAGCATCTCAGAAAATAGATCTTTTCCTGCAGAGTCAAAAATGAAGAATTCCTGAAAGCGGAAACAGAAAGAAGGCTCTTGCCAAGAAAAATGCAGTGTAGGGAAAGGCTTTGAAAGTAAATACTGCAACTTGTAACTCCTACGTTTTGTTCAGTACAGCAGTGTCATGTCCCTAAGGGACAAATTCCCCGCACTGAGAAAACTCTAGATAGTGTGAGAAAAATAAAAAGCTATATTTCAAGTATAACCAATCAATGGCTTACCTCCAAGGCTCCAAGTCTGGTTTTCATCTCTACTGGAAACAAAATATGTGGAGTGGGACAGTAACCTGTACTATTTACATGAAATTATACATGTGGGTATATTCCATTAGTGGGGGTATAGGGTACTAAGGGAAAATAACAGATAAGTTTCAGCTTCTTTAGTTTCCAAGAAACATGAACTAAACCTGAATGCCCTAAAGGACAGAACAGAATCTCAACAAAGCTGGCAACAACTTTGATTTACAATGTTGTGTTGGGTATGAGTATGTAAAACTTATATTTTTAAGACTGAACTAACCCTGGAGTATCAGCAATCGTACACAGTCAGACTTATTTCCTTAATGCAACCTAATTGCCACATGAACATGCATAGTGATCTTCCATCATAATGAGACTCGTGAGGTTTGAGCTCTGGATGTCTCTTTCTGACCCAATTTATGTCACAGAAAAACTCACCACACTATCACTTGTCTCTGGAACCGATACAGCCTTTACCAACAGATCTATGCCCGTTGTCTGTCAAGAAGAATCAGGAAAACGAGGATCAGAAGAGTTTTTAAGAGCCTGTCCAACTGCATACCAACTACGCATTGGATTGAGGCAATTCTCGTGAATCATTACAATCCCATCAAACACAAACTGCTGGGAACTCAGCAATACTCCTCAGAGCTCTGGTAACATAATCCCACCAACATGTCAAAGGCTCGTAGATTTGCTCAGCTGGGGGAAAAAGGAGGAGAAGAACCAAAGAGATTTGCTTATATACAGCTAAGAGTATTAGCTGAAATCTGCAGGGCTACGTCTACTCTCACATTGCTGCTCTAACACACGCCTGAGAATGTTTTGCACCAACCATGTGATCAGCTAACATATGGAACTGAGGTTATTTGTGCTTCTTCCACCTTTTGTCTCATTCTGCTTTGTAGCTTGTTTGTTTGTTCTATTTCTATCCTTAACTTCTGGTTTCCATCTTTATTTCAATGAATAAACAAAATTTAGGGCTTTTTTCCTCCACACTCATATTTTCCTTTTTTTACTTTACTTATATTTACTTTTATTTTTATACTGATTCTGATTAGTCATCACCATTGATTCTTACACTGAAAGACTGCAAACTGTATCCTCTTCATCTGGGAACAGTTTCTGTAGATTATAATTATCTTGGGGCTATGCAGCACATCTTCGTGTTTGCATAGTGATAAGCACACTGTCCACATGCACATTTAATAGCTGGAATTAAAAGCCTTCTCCTTCAGCAAGGCTTTTTCATAGAGCACTCCCTAAAGGGGGAAGCTCTCTAACACCACAAAAGCTTGTGGAAACATTGGTTCGTCAGGAAAATTAACTAAATTACTCTGCATTAAGTTTCAACACCAGCACCCACATAATGTGGACTTATATAATATTAAAGGGTTTCCCTTCAGAATCTAGGGTGCTAGAGAAAGAAAACCCTACAAATTGAATGCCTCAACTAAAAATCATACTGATTTTGCTCTAGGTCTCTTAATTTCCTCATTCTGCTTAGAAGAATGTTAGACAGCAATCGGAGCCTGTTATATGCTTACCAGTGTGTAGTTCTTCTGAAAATGAGCCCCATCACTCCGAAACATCTGGGCTAAAGCACTCTTCCCCACAGCTGGATCTCCTGCAAAACCAAAAACATAGATTTTTGTTTCATTCCAGAGAATGTTATTTTCCCTCAGTTCTGTTTACTATCACATGGCCTAAAAGCCTGGATGCTCTAACTCTGACTACAGGCAAGATAACTGTCATATGAAGCACACAGCAATCTAAAAGGTAATACTGACATGAGGAAATGAATATTACCATTATGCATACTGGTGCTGACATTAGATTTATGATCTATGAACAACAGCAAAGGACTGCCAGATCAGGGTGGAACTGCTGCTTGTTCTAAAATTCATGCTTACGCCATAGCCCTTATCTAAGAATTAAAATTTCCCAGATATGCTACCATGTAGAAAAAATAGCATTGTGATAAGGGACAGTGGGCTGCATAGGAGGCTATTTCCTCTCCTTATGTTACCCATTTCCCCAGATTCAAATCCTTGTTATATACTGAGACAAAGCTGCTTAAGCTGGTAATATTCCTCAATGAACTCTTCTTGCTGATCCTGCTAAGAGAGCAGCTCTTGCTGACTCAATGCTGCTGGTGGCTCATTAGTTGCATCCTGGGCATAACAGAAGCAAATGTCAGAGAGAAAGAGCCTGCTGATTCATCCCTTTATGGAAGGAAAACCAAGGGGCTTTAGTTTTTGCTCTTCTAGAGCCAAGGCTTTCTGATATGGCTTGCACAACACTTTGGGCAAACCTGGCAGCTGCTGGCTTTGGCTGCTGCTACAAAACTCTGTAAGATCCAAAGCAATGGCAGAGAACTGCAGAATTCACACATGTCCTATTACTTCATGAAAAATATCATAACCCTTGCAAAACAAAGACTTAAGTTAATGCTTCCAAAGGGTTTATAATCTCTTCACATAATGTCCTTCTAGGATGGATAGTTAAAAGAACAGGAGCCAGGAATTAAATACCTCAGTGGTTCAAGCTTTACCCTTTAAAGGCACACTCATAACAGTCAAGCCTGGAATACAAATCTTTTACATTATGTTATTAATAAATTAACCCAGAAAGGGGTATATTTTGACTCTGTTACAGCTTCCTAGGCTGTGTTTTGAAGGAAATTGGTAGACCTATCTGCCCACATAATATTACAGAGGAGGAAGGAGGTTTTGGATAGTAACAATTGCTCCTAGATGCATTAACCAAATGTAGCTCTTGTTTAAACATTTTTAGCAAGCTTACTTACTTTGAGCTGAGTTGGGCTCATAATATTTAGACAGGAAAATGTGGTAAGTCAGCTTGTTTGTTCCCTGATCAGTTCAAGCTTGTGCGGAAGACAACACTCTGTTCTGAGTGGAAGCTATTCCGTATTTCAACAGACAATTAGATCGGTCTTTGTAAAATGAGAGAAGTACACACTGCTCCAAACTTCGAAGGCATCATCCAGCACAAATTCTTAACTAATGTGTTGCCTTTTTTCTATTTGACAGTCCCAGTTGTTCTTTCCCTTTCCTTATTCTTTGCCATCCTCTTTAGCCTGACATCACTATACTTTCTCCAAATAAGTTTCCTTGCCCTTTTCAATTAGTTTGGTCTCATCTGCCAGTACTGCATCCCACAGCATATATTCTATCCATATTTCTGTTATTTTGCCAGAATCTGTAGTGTGTCCAAAATGCCTCCTACTGCCAACTGTCTCTGCAATGAAAACCTTTGTGTAGTGTCTCCACAGCAAGCTCAGACAAGAGTATCTTTTACTATGTATCTGTAAATCACCCTTGAGATAACACAGGAATCACTTCTACTGTCAAGTTAATAGTCTCTGTTTTGCTAATAAGAGCCCTTTTTCCCTTTGACCTCGGTGCAGCTCCCAATTCTGTGAGCCATTGACTCTTCGTAACCATTTCCTTAGGTACACAAAAGCTCCCTGTTCCACTTCTGATCATTTTGCTCCTACCTATGTAATTGCATTTTCTTGTTCACTTTAGGTTGTTGTGGTTACTCATCTCTTACGTCTCTTTCACTATATTGGTCTCTTCTGCAAGAGAGAAGCGATTTTGCCTGGTCTACTTCATTAATTTATTATTTTTAATAATATATGGATATTATTGTAGCACATAGGAGAACTACATAAAGGACAGGATCTTCCTGTTGTTTGTGTTGCGAACAGAATTGAAAAGGCAGCCCCAGACACGATCAAGATTAAGCACATAAATATGTCATCCAAAGAAAACCTATGTGATTTAAAAATGGTTGTAGAATTGGCCTTGGCAACAGTAAACAACAAAACTAGAAAGACTTTACAAAGCCTATGTATTGGAAGCAGGAAACTTCCAAATTGGAAATGATGCGTAAGTTTCAAATCTAGAAGACATGCAAGACACTCATGCTGCCCACAGCAAAAGAGGCACAAGAGAGATTAACTTTTGCATTTGCCAAAGACCACACATGACTTTGTGCGAGTTCGTGGCCAGCTGCTTCCAAGGTTAAAATAGGCAAACATTTTACTCTGTATGAAAGAATTTGGAGTGAAGAGTTAAAGCTGGGAGTTGACTGCACACAAAGGTTTTATGGATTTGTGCTTCTTGTTGAGGCTGCACAGAGTTTAAATGTAGAGGGAGGGAAGAAGAAGTTTTCTTCCTGCAGTGTTAACAATCATCTGTACTTACTTTCAACAGCTCTATAATCCATCCTGACTAAATAAACCGATGTCTTCATCTCATTTTTTTCCCCAGGTTAACCTCCAACTTGCTTGGGGAAAGACATGTCTGTGAAGTGCACGTGCTTCATCCTTCTATTCTTTACTTAGGCTTTACCTTTCTATCACACTTAGAATCACCCCGATTTCTGACATGAATTTTTCACATCAGTCCAAAGCAAGACTCCGGAATGAGGCAGGACTCAGCTGTCTACCCTGCTCCCTTCACACTTTCCCCATCCTCTGCCCTCCTTTCCACACTGCAAAAATACTCTTTTTGGTGAGGTTCCCCCTCAACCCCCTTTTTTTTCAGATCCTTTCCTTGCATTTCAGCCGGTCCGACTACGTCTCACACCCTCCCTGGGCACAGCACTTGACTCCCCGCGTGTGGCAGGAGGGAGCGGACACCGGGCTGGCAATGACAAACGGGATTTCCACCGCTCCCGTCCCGAGGGAGCCGAGGTCCTCACTCCTCTCCCCACCTCTTCTCCGCCGGTGCGGCCCCTCCACGAGAGGCTGCGGGAAGCCAGGCCGGATCGGCTGCCGGCCTCGCCGCACCCCACGGTGCCCCCTCTGGGCCCCTGCAGCCAGCAGGGCGGACGGGACCGGGCGGGCCAGACTCACCTGCCAGCAGGCACTTGGCAGCGAGCTTCACCATGGCCCCGGGCAGGCGGCGGGCCGGACAGGAGGGCGGCAGAGCCGCCACCGCGCCGAACCGCGGCCCTGGCAACCGCGCGGCCCTGGCAACCGAGCGACCGCCCACCCATCCCGGTTGGCTGCGGGCCCTGCTCGTCAACGCCTCTCGCAGTTGTTATTGGTTCTTTTGACTTTTTCCCGCCCACCAGGTGCGGCGTCGTTCAAACCCGACCCCCCGCCCCTCCCGGGGGCGCCGCGGCGCTATGGGAGGAACGGAGCGGAATTCTGCCCGGCAACTAAGTACGTCACCGAGACTCGGCTTGTTATTGGATAGAGCACAGGGTACTGTACCACGGGGCTGAAATGAACCCTCTGGGGACGCGGCAGAAAATAGAAAAGTTACGGGCAAAGGGCTGCGGCAGCACCAAGGAGGAAAGAGGCAAGTGAGGGTGAGAAACCTCCATTTCGTGCCTATGAACCCACGGAACCCGATGTTCAGTGCGGAAGGGCCCTAGCACCCGGTGCCTTCCTGCGCATGCGCTCTGCCGAGCGCTCGCCTCTCCCCCCGCCCGCAGCCGTCCCTTCCGCCCGGTCCTATCTTTTGGGTCACTTTTGACTCGGGGCTTGGAGGTGGAGCGGGAATTGCAGCAGGCTTTGTGCTTTGCTGCGGCAGATTTATAAGTCGGCCACGAAGCTTGATCAGCACGTTTAGAGCAGGCAGTTTGTGAGGCCGCTGTGTCTAGAATGAAAGTTGAGCTGTGCTTCTTCCCAGCCCGGGCCAATATTTGATCCCTTTCCTCCAGTTCACACTTTTCCTTGTGTTTGACTGTTATCATACTGACGGCGAAAGTTCTCTTTCTGATTTCTTAGTTGCTTTCTTCTTAACATCTCAGCATTTTGGTCCTTTTTTCCCGCCTTTGTTGTTTTTGTAGTCTTTCACACTGCAGTAGGTTGGTTTCTTTATTGTTTTTCTTAATTTTCAAATATTTTTGCTAAGATCTCCCTTGACTACTATTAAACTATTTCTCTGCCCTATTTTTATTCTTTGAACTGATCTTCTGTCTTCCTTAAGCAGCCCGGGTCAATGGATTTGGGTTGGAGCTGAAAAAGGTGATAATGAAGCTTCCTGTGTTTTCCTCTCCTTCCAATGTCTTATGCCATCAGCAAGCATGCCATTAAAAGCAAACAACATTTTTTAGGGTATAAACTTCTTAGGATATAAACTTTGCTTGTCTACACTTTGGGTTGTTTACTCTGGAGCACAGAATCTGCTTGCTGTGAAAAGCAGTGAGTAAGCTTGGGAAGAAAAGAATAATTAATAGTGCATCTGTATTTGGGTTATAACATTGGACATTCCAGAAGTACTGTTGGTTGAAAATAAATTGTTCCAAGTTTTATATTAATTTCAAGGTAGTGCCTGCTTAGAAGGCAGCTTTTTTTTTACCTTTGTCTAGGATGAATGACCTATTTTACATGTTTGGGACTATGTGACACATCTGCCAAACACCTAACCAGGCAAGCAAATAACATAAAAGTAGTGAGATCCCATAGCAAAATCAAAGGAGTCTTTTATATGCACATAAAATAACATTGTTTCTCTTAAAAATATGAAAGGGACTTCTCCAGCCTGAGTGGGTAAACCTTAATTGTAGATGATAACTGTAGTGAAGTATAGTGATGGAGTCACTAATGAGCGTTCTTTTAAAAAGAAAAAGAAAAATTAATCCCAGGTCTCCTTATTGCTTTCACTATTTTCCATCTCTGAATCCTCCATCACATAAGACAGGTGTGGGTTATTGATGTTCTCCATCACTTATGTCTAAATAGCTTCCCTCCCCTTTCATCTTTTCTGCCTTCCACTCCATCTTCCAAGAAATCCACTTGTGTCTGTGTTGTTCCATTTTTGCAATCTTTGCATTATCCTTTGTTGTCTATTTGTAATATTGTCCCAGTTTACTGACAGGTCTGCATGCGAAGGCTTTGAGGCTCCATTATGATTTACTTCAGAATTATTGATTGTGGCTGCAATGTAGTAGTATCCATCAGCGTTTACTGAGGTAAAACATCTCTAACATTTTACACTGGGATCAGTGTAATAGAAGGCATAGATTATGTTGGAAGTGAGATTTTTATTGCTGTTGAAAAATTCTGCTTGGAATCTGGCTATGCTGCTTTCCTATTAGCACCCTGGTCCTTTATCCCATTCCCTCATTTTCTACTTACCTCTGCATGCATGTGTGCACAGAACTCTTAATGGACTTGTGTCCTCTCTATTTCTTCTGTCCTTTTACCCCACACTTTTTTTTTTTTACTCAATCTCGGTCTTTTCCTCCACCTGAGTTCTCACAGGTAAAAGTTGTTCCATTACCAGTTTTGACAGTGATAGATTAAGGATGGAATTACTTATCTGCACCTTGTAATCCAAACAGAATCACAGTCTGCTGTTAGCAGTCCACAGGGGTTGCTGCTGAATAAATTGGAATACTGGTAGCTGTGCTCACTGAAGCTTCTCTCATCTTGAATACGTGAGAAAGAGGGGAAGAGAAATCCTGTGGATTTAAACAACCCCCCCACACACAACAGAGGATGATGTCCTTACCCTAGAGAAGTGTTTATTTGGTTAAACCCTCTATTTACCAGCTAAGGAGAAATAGAGCACTCTTTTTATTCACACATTTCATTTCTTCCTCAAATAAGGCAAGATTCCTGTGAGTGGAAAGCACTCCTTCTCTCACGTGAGCAGGATAAGTTGCCCTGACAGCCACAAGACCCTGAGATTTAAAGTCACATTCCTTTAGGCAGTGGTCACAAAACAGCAGATGAACTGCACATGTCCGTGTGTGGCTTGCATTTTGTCAGGGTACAGAAGGCAGCGATGGTGGAACTGCAGCTCCAGCAGGAGTGGCAAGGAATTTCAGGCGCAAGGTAAGGCTTTGCATTGAGGATTAAACCAAGGTTGTACAGTCTTTTAGACTGATGCATGGTTTGTGTTTCAGGTTCTATCGGGCGCTTCACAAAACATACCTGTTAAAAAGTGATTTTTTGTGAGGCAGAATTCACTGATATTCCTAGGACTTGTTTTTATAGTTATTCATGTATCGATGCAAACATTCTGGATATGTTCAGAGTTGAGCAGGTTACAACCTGTAACTTGAACATGCTGCCTAATAAAAGCTACTGAGGAAGTACTGTAGCTTTCTTTGGAGTATCAATGCTTCTCAGGAGGGCATTAATGTTGAGGAAAAGGAATTAGTAGGTCTTTCTGTAAGAAATCTCTTAAATTCAAAGTATTTTGTCAGTTCTTTTTTAAATCTTATGTTACTAAAAGGAAACAGTGTGACAAAATGGCATCAGAATTATCTTGCAAATGGATGAATATTCAGAGTTCATGCAGCTTTTTTAATCTGTATAGATTCTTACAGGATTGACTATGAATGTTTATTGATATGTCTGGAGAGCTTTGAAAAACTGCAAGAATGGATGTGCAAATTTTATTGTAGATTTCCGTTCTTTACACTTTCCCCAGGCGGGAATAAATAGAAACTTCATCTATTTTGAGGGCTACTTCATTTGGCATCCCCCAAAATTGCTGTTTGTTTCTCAGAGTGGGGCTATTAGCACAGAAGTTAGAATTTGGATGCTTTCTCTATCACTGTTGATAATGCCATTATAGTTCCAGGTCTTCTGATTTTGCTCTTTTGTGGCAGGAACTGAGACACAGCTATGAAGGCTTTTTGGCTGAGAGTCGGTGCACTGAAATGTAAGATGATTATAAAATGGTTGAATCAGCCAAAGGATTTGTTGGCAGTTACAACAACCCCTTCTGACTGATCTGGCATATCTGTCACTTGTTTCTGATCTACTCTGTTGGGAGAGTGGAAGTTAGAAATGGATGGCAGTTGTGGCATCAATGAAAAGTGGTAAATTACTAGATGTAGGGTAGGTGCCTCCACAAGGCGTAAACTTGGTTTGAGTATTCTAATTGAAACTGTTGTGTCCTCTTTTCTAATGAATAGGGAATGAGGGAAAGATTTCTCAAGGATGCATTCAAATCCACAAGGATAAAGATAAAGAGAATTTTCAGGGAGTAATTATTCTGCATATGCCTGGAAAAATTCCAGCTTGAATCTTTATTTTCTTGTTCTTGCACATGGAAGCTAAGGAAAAGTGCTGGGAGCAAACCCTAAAGTCTTTATTTATTTTTTAACAATATACCCCAAAGGATTAGATGTGGATAGTTGATCAGGGAACCGGAACTTCATACGGAAAGTTGTCTGGATCTCTCCATGGGGGATAGTCTGTGACAGACTGAGGGCTTGCTGTGGCCTTGTGTGTGGCCTGAGCCTTTCTCAGCTGTGAGCACCGTTATTGGAGCAATTGTGTCATGCTCCTTTGCACAGAACCGTGCACAGGGGGATTAGATGCTGGTAAGTGAGCATCGAGCACGCTCCTGCATCACGGGGAAGGGGTTAATCTGCCAAACAGAGAATATATGAATACGTGACATCTTTAAATGAGCTACCCACGATTCCAGCTCGCCAGTCATTATGTGGTGATGAGGACTATGATAGCAGCTGGGAATCTTTTTTTGGATCTCTAGCTGCTGTCTGCTTAAAATCAGCTGCTCGGTTTACACTAATGCTATATCTTATGTTAAAAACTGCAAGACAGATTACATTAAAATAAAATAATGAGATTTATTAAAAAGTAAAAGTTTATGTTTTGGTTTATATTCTGTTTGTACTTTTAGGATTTGAATGTTCAAGGTTCTCCCTGCAGGCATGACAGCTAGAATGCTTTTCCCTTTGCTGAAGACTGTCAGCCATGTGATTCCGGGACTTGGAGTTTTAATGGAGGAAGGAGAAGAGAAATCTTTGAGACTCCTTATTGAATTTTCAGAAGTTTACAACACTCTGTTTTCTATCCTCTTCACTTTTACAGCAGGTTAAATTTTTAGGCACAAACCTTTTCACCTTAATTATGTCCTTTCTTTTCAAGGTCAATTTATTATAATGAATTTATATTATAATAAAATATCTTCTGTTCTAAGCTTTTCAAATCCTCACTCTAATCATCTCCAATCCTTCCTGCACTGGATTTCCTTTTCCTCAGACCCTGAATTTCAGAGTTGTTCACCCTCTGGCCTGTGTCTCAGAGCTCTCTGTCCATTTATTTCATTTCAAAAGCAAGGCTCCTGCTCCTGCCTTCCCAGTAGCTGTTCAGACCAGCTACTTCCTTCCCATTTGCTGCTGAGCCTTGCTGGTCAAAATCTTTGTGGCTTTCTTCCTACAGCTGTAGGGCTTTGGTTCCTGCTTCTGATGAAGTCTTAAACATCTGGGCTACACAGTGAACTGATAAAAATTCTGAACGAGAAGGATTCAGAGCTTGTAAAAATACGATAAAAATTACATGGGAGCCTTTAATTGTTACTTATTCTGTGTTTTGCATTCAATAGAGTAGATGGAATTTCGGGTTAATTTTGACCTATCAGACCTTCAGTGAGAAATCATTTAAGTTCTATTGTATCAGTTACCTCTCTTTTGAGCATTCAAAATGAAGATGCATTTGAACATTAGGATCCTCAACAGCCCCAAAAAGATGTGGGCTCATTAAATCTATGGGCAATTGTCTCTTAAGACTCTGCTTTGCTAAGAAGGCTTTCACGTGTGAACAAGGAAGTTAATATATGCAGAGAGGAACAGCAAAACACTGGCTTTAGTAATGGAGGTTGTTACAGAACATAATTGAACACTGACTGCAGCAAACCTAAAAGGAGACTTGCATTACAATGACATAAAATCTTTATTTTTTCCCCTAACCTCTGATTTCAGCTGTCTGACTAAGAGCAGGTGCTGGGCAATAGCTCAGTTTCAACAACCCATTGCAGCTGAAAGAGTAGATGCAACTGTGCTGTATCCAGCAAAATTGAAAATTGCTTTAAAGGAGGGGAATGCAAATGTTTTTAAGACAGAAAATCTTCATTCATCTGCAGAAGGAAGCATAAAATTAGCACAGCCACATAATTCTTATTCCTCTTTATATTAAAGAAGTAATAACTGTGAGATAATTTGCTATTACCTATATATTTTAGCATCTTTCTAGTGATATACTTTTAAAATTGCATTGCATTGTGAAAATACAGGAAAAAGAATTTGTTAACAATTAAATGTTATAATTAAAAAATTCTTTTGGTCAAAGTTTCCAAAACTTGAAAATATCTCTGAACCGTTTGGATTTTCAGCAACCCATGGACCTTCCCTCCAGCAATTAATGATTAAGCCTTTAACATCTGATCCTGAGCCTCTCATGACCTGTCTAGAGTCATAGAATGATTTAGGCTGGAAGGGACCTTAAAGATCATCTCATTCCAGCCCCCTTGCCATGGGCAGGGACAGCAGGTTGCTCAGAGCCCCATCCAACATGGCCTTGAACACTTCCAGGGTTGGGGCATCCACAGCTTCTCTGGGCAACCTGCTTAATTAAAAAATTTCTTCCTAATATCTAATCAAAATCCACATTAATAGAGAGTTACTGTGTTCTTACCAACTGAAGGCCTAAGTATCCATTTTTAATGCCTGTTTTGTGCTACTGTAACACCAGTGAAACCAGGTGTATTTTTTTACATAAACCATTAACTGCTCACAAAGCATCTCCTGGAATTAAAAACTCTAGTTGTGATATGAGTTGCAGGATCTGATTCAGACAAGATCCTTTCACTTAGGTTTTCCTAGATGGGGGACTGAATGAGTTTATGAAAGAAACATCTTTTCTAGCTGCATGTTGCACAGGCTCATCAGCTTAGGCTTTCCTATTAGTTTCATAGGCCTTTCAGTATTTATATTTAGATTGTGTGATCCGTTTGTTGTTGTAGTTCTGTCTTTCTAGTAGCTGTAGAAGGGACTCTAGTATTTATATTTATATTTGCTGTCCTTAAAAGTGCATCAGCCTCTGTTAAGCTTTGTTACTTTATTGACTAGAAGAGCAATACCGAGAAATGTACTTGTTCCCTTGTTAAGTAATTATCCCACATTAGAAGATCCCACAGTTAGACAGTCAGGGATTTCTAAAGGGTGTGTCTCTTTGAAGAGCTCTGCTAAAATGCTCTCTCAGAATGAAGAAGCAGCAGCTCAGGTTCAAGCCCACGTTAGCAATGAGAGAGCCCAGGACCTAGAGGAGGTATTTTAATCACCAGCATAAGCTAAAGCCTGGGCTCTGCTGTCTGTGCTACCCATGGCTCCTGAGTGGTGTTAGAACAACAATGTCAATATGTGCTTTAACCTCAGCTGGAATTGATTGAAATTGATTTGCAATTGATTTGTAAATAAAAGAATGGGTTCTTTATCTGCCAACCATTTAAATCTCAATCTAGGATTTTTAATGAAATGAAGTTGTTTTGTGCATTATGCTCATTAATAAGAATTTCGTGGGTTAATTTGTGACTTCAGTGAACCTTTAGGCATAATTTTTTTTATTATTTTGTTAAGGCAGAGCTTGTTGCAAATATTGTGCAATGCTGCAGTTTTTAATTCCGTAACAATATTAACTCTGTTTTGGACAGAATGTTGTCAATGTTTAGATGCTATAGCGCAGAGGCTTTGCTAAAATTCTTATGTGTGTTGCAGGAAAGGAGAACATGAACTGCAATACCAATCTTCAAAAGTATTTAGTTTAGTCAGAAAAGGCAAAAGAAGCAAACAACAGTGATTGATGAGTGGAAGCAATTGCAGTGTTGAGCTCAGGACTGGTGAATAGACTGTAAATATAAATCCTAACTCAGCTTCTACAAAGTGAACAGGTGTTTGGCCTCCAGTCCATTGATTCCCAAAATAAGACATGTGGGAAATTGCTGATCCATGAAACTCCATTAAGAGCTTGGCACGACCCTTAAAGTATAAACTATTATGCATTTGTTGATTAAAGATTTA